CCGTTTGATCTTAACCACTTGACCATTCGGCCAAAATGTAGCCACATTTGGCTTTAACATTTTGGCCTCGACATCTCATCCTCTTATGGCCTCAACCTATCGATAGCTCGATCATTTGACCTCAACTTCTCGACCGTTTAACCTCCTTCGACCTCAACCTTTCAGTATCGACCTTAATTTGTTGACTTTTTAGTCTTGAAAGCTCGACCTCGTTTGGCCTTAACCTCTCATCTTAGTTTGGCCTCATCCAGACCTCTTTCAACCTCAATCGCTCGTCCTACCGAGACAACAGAAAGGTCAATTAAGGAATAGTTCACCCAAGTGAACCCTTACCACAACTTTCATGTGATCTATCCAGGAAGATTTCACCCAAGTGAATTCTTACCGATGAAGTACCGAGACTATTAAGGAAAAGTTCAGAATGGAACATCTACCGTCTTACAAGTGTTTGGCCTCAATAGCTCGGCCTACAAAGGCGATCAACAGGTCGATTAAGGAAGAGTTCAACCAAGTGAACCATTATTGTACCCGTCAAGCAATCGAATAAGGAAGAGTTCTAAAAATTGAATCGCTCACCTTAAAAAAATGGTTGAAGCACATCCAATCAACGAGTTATAAGGAATTCCTCCTAATCGGGTTACAACTTTTAGCATAAGCGTCAAGTACTGGACGACCAAATCCAAACCTCTTCACAAATAATTTAGTGATCGAGTTTGCGGGGTCTGTGTACCGTATGTTTGTTTGGTCAATCTTGGATGATCAAACATCAATCAAACTGTCTAACTCCAAGATTGATCACATTCTTGGCTGGGCACCTACGACTGACCAAATTTGGACAACTACTTTTGGTCGACTCCAAGACGAATCACATCCTTGGCTGAGCACCCTTGAATGACCACATTTGGTTGAATACTATTGGCTGACCATATTTGGCCGATTCCAAGACCGATCACATCCTCAGTTGAGCACCTGTGACTGACATTTGGCAGACTACTTGAGGTCGACCATCTTTGACCATCCATACTTTGACCGACCTATTGAACATATCACCCGTGATCGATCACCATGACCGAATGACATGGTCGACCAATTACAACATGGTCAAATTAACATAATGATAATCACGAATCAATGCTGATTAAGGTATGTTTGGGTCGTGATTAGACTAGTAAAAATGTAAAAGTCCATAACAATCACTATAAATAAAGTTCTAAGGTATGGATTTTAAACACATGCATTAAACATACAACACATGCATCACTGCATTAATACTATACCGATTGGTCATTTTTTGACTTTAACACCAAAGTACCTTCTGCAACTATCATCCGAGCAATTTGAACGCATGAGAGATTTCTTAGACTCGACCCACTTGGATTTGGAAACCACTTAACTGGACTAGAAGATGCAATCCAACATCCATTCAATTAGAGAACGTGATATAAACACCCAAACAACATGAATAAACCATCTAAAAATCGATAATAGTTATTTTTAAAGATCAACTACAAGTTCGACCAAAAATATAAATAAATCTTTTTAGATTATTAATCAATTAAGGTGTGAAGGAGATGTTTTGTTAGAGAATGAATGAATGGATTTGAGGGTAAATTATGTGTTATTTTTTTTAAGGGATTTGGAGGTGATTGAGAGTAAGTTTAAAAATACAGTTTGTAAAAAATTGTATAAGATTTGACGGATGTGATAAATTAAAAAAATGATTTAATAAATAGAAAATAAATATTAAATGTAATAGTAATGTAAAATGATATTTATGAATAATTGATTTTTATAAAAATTGTTTTAAATAATAGAATAAAAAATAATAATTAATACAATATTTAATTTTTTAGGATATTGAAAGTTTTTTGTTTAAATAATATTTTTTTAAATATAATACATTGTGAGTTTAATACGAATTAAAAAAAAGTTACAAATCTTAATTTTATTTGACTGAATTTAACTTTGAATTAAAATAATACTTTTTAACAAGGGTAAAAGTGGTTTTTGATGATAATTATCCTGAAATCTAAGATGCGATGGAATAAATGATGAAACATCGAAATCCTTTCTTTTTTTTTCTAAATTTTTTAAAACGAACAATCGAAAATCCATATAGTGCATCAACCCCAGTCTAACAGTCAGTGCCTTAGAGACATTCGATAAATTCGATTAAAAATAAAATACTTGGTATTAATTTTAATTTGATTTCTGAGTAGAAGAGTGAATGATGTAACATCTTATCAGGAGACAACAATTATCCATTTATCCATGGAAATAGATAGTAATGATTTTATATTAAAAAATGAGAAGCACATGGCCAAGTTGTATCTGCTGCATTCTTCACTTTCAGCGCTTTGGTTAACGCGAAATTTAAAGTGTAAGAAAACTCTCGTAAGACTAATTCAAAGAAACCTATGGCAGAAAAGAAAAGGTCAAATATTTGACTTTTAGAACATTCAAGTGCAAATCTTAACTGTTGATTTGATTGAATGAATTATAAACATTTTTTACCAGTTATCCTTATATTTCATAAGTTTCTTTCTGAAATTTCAAAATTTCAATATTATCCTTTTTATTAATAATTATTGGTTTTTAAAATCGATTAAATAAATTCTTTAACTGATTTTCAAAAATTGGTTAAAATATTCTTTTTCATTTAATTTTTTATTTGTTATTTAATAATAATAAAAATAATAATAAGAATAATAATAGTATTAGTAATAATAATATTATTATATATAGTTTTTTTAAAAGATTTGTACATGTCAATAATTACATTCAATAATTAATTTAGACAAAGAATATTTTTATAATTTGTATAGATTTATAAGTAATTAAATTTGTGAAAAATGCAAATTAAAACACTTTTTGAAGTTTTTTCAAACACTTAGGAGATAGAATAAATTAGAAATGATATGGAAAATTATTGTTAAGCTTAGATTTCACTAACCTCATTTTCATACATATAATTACTCAAAAACTTTCCAATTTCATGTTATAGTCAATCTAAAAGTTTCCTCAAATCCTAATTATTTAACAGTACAGGCCTAAGTTTTTTATTAAGATTTAATTTCTTGAGTACTTAACAAACAAATTTGCTTTTACAATATAGGATTAAGATGACTAATGAGTCAAGTTTCATTCATAGATACAAGCTTTATTAGGTATCTTGTTCCATTTCTACATAAGATATTTTTCTTTACCTAATGAGTCAAATGTCAAGATATGGATAATCAAACCACAACACACATTCAGTAAAGAAACAAAATGCTAACATTGAAAAAAAAAGTATATATATAACGATATACATGAGAGTTCAATTGTTTACATCTAACCTCAACCAAATTGGGTTTAGTTTTTCATTGTCATGAAGAGCTAAAAATTGAAAGATGAACAAAGGAAGAAGATGGAGATTCAAGGAGGAATAAGGTGATGCTCCCACAAGCCCTATAAACCATCTAATTTATCCAAGATGTACTTTTTGTGCTCCGCAACACCTAGAAGTAGATTCTCTCTTGATGAAACAATAAGAAATAGAGAAAAAGTGTCACATCTACAAAAGCACTACCTAACACAATCCATTCCTTGTTGGATGCATATATTACTTAATCTAGAATAACCACGTTCCTAAATAACCTAATTATATTATCATCTAATAAGATTTCTTAACCCTCAATAATGATATTCTTAAGCTAATTAATCCATAATAATCATATTATCATATCACTTAACGAAGAATAATCATATTTACATACTAAACAATTTAGAATAACCATATTATCTTATTACTTAATCTGGAATAATCATATTTAAGGAATAATTAATACAAAATAACCATGTTCCAAGACTAATTAATCCATAACGATAATATTTACAAACAACCAAAATAATCATATTTCTATTTTAGGTAACTTATAATAACCATATTTATGAAGTGTTGTATATATGTTCTTAAAATTCATTAAAATTTGTTGAATGTTGGAAAACTAGTTTAAAAGGTTATAATGTGTCGTTTGAAAACAAATTCTACACAACAAAAGTATATGATATATATATATATATATATATATATATATATATTTCAAGTAAAATTAAAGAGAAATATTTGATTTAAATTTGTTGGAGGAGGAGCAAAATTGATTTTTTCAATTCAAGAGCACATAAGTGAATTTCAATACAAAAAAGAAGAATTTGAAGAAGATAAAGAAAAACAAGTTGGTCTTGTAATACCAACACTCAAGTTTAAATGTGGTGTTAGAATGCAAGGTTGACAACAAAGGAACAAACTTATTCTTCTATAAAGGAGTGACACTACAAAAAAAAAGGGTATTACCGAAGGCCAAAAGCCCTCGGAAAATGCCAAAAGCCCTCGAAAAATGCCATTTACAGACGGCTTATCGACGGCCAATCAGCCCTCGGTAAATCCCTTGTCGCTAACAATTACCGAAGGCTTTTGACCTTCGGTAATTACCGAGGGCGTAAAGCCTTCGGTAATTACCGAGGGTCAAAAGCCTTCGGTAATTACCGAGGGCCTATTGCAATGGTTGTCATTTATATCAATCACACACAGCTTCTATTGCAATGGTTTAGGTTTAACAACTCGAATAAACAATTATCATCTCATCACACAGCTTCTTTGACGCACTGCACATCCAACAACCTGAGCCCACTGCCTCAGTCTTGTCTTCACGGTCTGAGGGTTATCACCTTCATAATTAATTCACATCAAACAACCCAATAATTCAGAAAAAATTTCATCACATCTTAATCTACTTCAATCACAATCAACACAAATTAAGCATAGAAAGACCAAGATTTAAATGTCCTTATCTATATTTCTCAAAGAATTTGATAACCAAGAGATCAGCTAAGTGTTTACCTGTGGTGAAGATGGCAGATCTGGGGACTGCCATGCGGGGAAGGAGTGTCTTCGCAGTCAGATGCGGCAGAGGAAGACGGCGTGGTCCTGGTGGTCGTGGTCTTGGGGACGGTTCATCAACCAAGCAATCACCAAGGAAGATTCCACACTACACATAATATATACACAAAACAGAGATTTGGATTCAGTGATACATGAGTGTGTTAGATTTAGAAGGAAGAGAAACCTGATTTTGGAAAGAGTCGAAAAAGTGAAGAGGGTGAGCTGCAAGATAGGGAAAGGATTTGAGATGTGATTGAGAAGCACCATGAGTGATCAAGAAGAGGGCAAGTTGCAAATGCCCTGCCTCAGCAGCACAATGCAGGGGAGTGTAGCCAGCATCATCCACAGTATCAACCTCACCACCGTGTTCAAGCAGCACCTTCACGCTCTTTATTCGACCCTTGAATGCAGCCCAATGCAGTGGGGTCCACCCGTTCTGGTCCCTCCCGTTCACACTCGCCCCTTCCCCCAAACACCTCTTCACGCCCTGAACATCGTCAACCCTCACCGCACGCATCAGCGCGTCGCCCAACCCCAGCAAATCCACNAATTGTATTCAGTGTTTGCATGATGTACCGTTCGGTTTCATACGTATTGAACTTGCATGAATTATGTATATGTGTTTATAATTAAATTACATTAGCTTACCCTACTTTCTTGTGTTGTCTTGTTTTGTCCTTCCGGTTATCTTTTCTTTTGCAATGATCATCCTGTGGATGTGAGCAGAAGGCGATGAGTGTTCGGTGGAGCAAGCGTTGGAAGGCGAGGATCCTGTTGCTTAGGTTAAGACCGCTCGGTCATCAGTTGTGTATAGTTTTAGATTGGACCGTTCGGTCAATAGGTTTAGTTTATATTTTGTAAATCGATCGGTTTATACAAGGTGTTGTATCACCGTTCGGTTTATGTCTATATTTGGTATCAGACTTATATTGTTCTGTAAAGTTTAGTTTTATGGTTATTTTGGATAAGTGTAATGTTAAAATACTTTACTAGCTTTATATGAATTGGTCTATCATATTATTATATGTGATTAATCTATGATATAGTATTATGCTATATTTTGGGATGTTACAATGATAATTTGTTGAACTTTAATAGATTTGAATTTATTTGCAAAATTAAGTATTTTAAAAAAAATTATAGGATTGAAAAATGATAAATTAATTGACATTTTCAATTGTGAAGAGTTTTTCAATGCTAAAAATAATAAAAACTTATTTAAGATTAGCAATACCTGAATCAAAATTAAACAAATTGATCTTATTATCGATTGAAAATAAAATATTAAATAAAATTAATTATAATAATTTAATAAATAATTTTATATCACATCAAATTTAAAAAATAAATTTTAAATAAACTTATGATATATTTTAACATAAATTATTTTGTTAGTAAATAAAAATATATCGTTGAAATGAGTGATGGATGTAGGAGGAGGGGATATGAACACAGATATATATTTTAACTTAAACATTTTCGTAAGAATAGGAAATGATACCGAGGAACATTTTTACAAAAATCAAAATTTTTAATTTAAAATGTAATCTACACTGTTATATAAAGATTATTCATCTTTTGGAGTATATATTTTGTTTTCAATTTTAATCGTGATTTTTAAATTAAAATTTCTTTTACCAGTTTTATTTTTTAAGTGAAAGTTTATTTTTAAACTTAACTATTTTTTTATTTGATTTTTTTCTAAAATTTAACTATTATTTTTAACTAAAATAACTATTTATAATAAAACATTATCTAAAAAATAAATAATTTTAAAATAATTTTTTTAAATGATTTAAATTTACTTTTATAATTATAATGATAATTTTATTATTTTTTGTTATCATGAAAAAAAGAATGAAAACATGTATAATAAGTGTTTTCAACTGAGTTTATAAAAAAAAATTATTTTTCTAATTTTTATTGTTTTACACTAACCACACAAGATAAAATAATGATACACTTTTATTTTACTTGTTCTATATTTGTTTGTATCCACTCTAACACTTTGATACATTATTCACTCTAACACCTCCAGATTCGTCCCAGGTCATCACACAAGGAATACCGTTACACTTTTTTTGTTTTTTCAATCTTTCAATGCAAATTGTTGGGAAGCATGTTGTGCAACTTAGTCTTCTCTCATTTCATATTCATATCTGAGGCCCAACATTTTCACGGTTATTTTTTAATCTTTCATAATGTTTTCAAAAACTTTGTGGTGCAATTAGCAATTTGCGTCTTTGTACCTAAAATGTATTATATTGTTGGACTTGAACAATAAAATTTCTATAATGTTTGAAAAATATGATACTAAAAATGTATTCATTATTAAAACTTTTATGGTATATGTTTGTTAGTCTTGTATATAAATTTATCACAAAGAATTTCAGTGTAGTACATAACCTAAACTTAATTTCATAAAAATTGACAGAAAAGTATATTTGGATTCCCTGAAGAATTTAAAGATAAATATTTTTAATTCAAATAACTTATTACAAGAACAAATAGTAAAAGATTAGAAAAACAAATCTATTCAAGGCTCGTAATGCTACAAATAACTAAAAAATCAAAAGATGTGAACATTATAACTTAGAGCACTCTTATAGATTAAAATTTTAAGCGTTTAAAGTGTCTATAATTTATTTTAATTTTGTAAATTCGTTGGGTGAACAATTCATTTTTATTTTTAATTTTCAAGATATTTTAGATCCAATATCTTTAGGCTTTCTTTTAGGACTATGTAGGTTGCTTAAATATTTGTGTCTATACATTAAAACACCAAATACATTTATAGAGACTTTTGAGTCATATTATATACATTTTCATTATTTGAGAGAGGATTCTCTTAATTCTTGGATTAGAACTCTGATCCTTATCAAAGATTAACATCTTTATGGAGAATCTTTACTTGACTTATCAATCTGCTAGGTTGTGGCATCCTACATCCCTATCTTATTGAATCTCTTGAAGATTCAAATTCAAAGCAATTGTACTCCTTCTTGGATAAAATCATACACCAGAGCGTATTATCTGGTATCCCTAGACGGTATCATTTGGTATTTAGAACAAGGTTCTTGTTTGAATTTCCTTTTTATCTTATTTTTTTGTCATATTAAAAATCCTAATTTTTTTTAATTTCATTGTTTTATGCTTGTTTTGAAATATGTTTAGTTATTTGTTCTTAAAATTTTGTAAGGAGTAAAACTCTTAAGGTTTTATTCAATTTTGTTGAGTTTTAATTATTTTTAGGTGTTCTTTATTTAAATTGTATATTTCTACATTTGATTCGTAGAAATAATCTATTTTTGTATTCACTAGTACAAAAACACCATATAACGTTGGTAATTTTCGGCCTATCATGTCGAATTAGAGACCGACGTCATATCACGTCATATCGGGAGACGTTAAATTGACGTCGGATTTAAACAATTTGACGTTAATTGACGTTAATTGACATCAGACATAGAACAATCCGACGACATAGAGCAAATTGACGTCAAATATTACTCTATGTCTGACATCATCAATTTATGGGTTTTTTTAAAAAAAACCGTCGATATTTTCTTCCATTGAAACCATGAAAAATCAATATACAACACAATAATACACCACAAAATTTTCAGAATTTTAGAAGTAGTAACAACCAATAAAAAGTTCAATAACCAATGAAAATCACTACAAAAAAAAAGGGTATTACCGAAGGCCAAAAGCCCTCGGAAAATGCCAAAAGCCCTCGGAAAATGCCATTTACAGACGGCTTATCGACGGCCAATCAGCCCTCGGTAAATCCCTTGTCGCTAACAATTACCGAAGGCTTTTGACCTTCGGTAATTACCGAGGGCGTAAAGCCTTCGGTAATTACCGAGGGTCAAAAGCCTTCGGTAATTACCGAAGGCCTATTTATATCAATCACACGCAGCTTCTTTGACGCACTGCACATCCAACAACCTGAGCCCACTGCCTCATACTTGTCTTCACGGTCTGAGGGTTATCACCTTCATAATTAATTCACATCAAACAACCCAATAATTCAGAAAAAATTTCATCACATCTTAATCTACTTCAATCACAATCAACACAAATTAAGCATAGAAAGACCAAGATTTAAATGTCCTTATCTATATTTCTCAAAGAATTTGATAACCAAGAGATCAGCTAAGTGTTTACCTGTGGTGAAGATGGCAGATCTGGGGACTGCCATGCGGGGAAGGAGTGTCTTCGCAGTCAGATGCGGCAGAGGAAGACGGCGTGGTCCTGGTGGTCGTGGTCTTGGGGACGGTTCATCAACCAAGCAATCACCAAGGAAGATTCCACACTACACATAATATATACACAAAACAGAGATTTGGATTCAGTGATACATGAGTGTGTTAGATTTAGAAGGAAGAGAAACCTGATTTTGGAAAGAGTCGAAAAAGTGAAGAGGGTGAGCTGCAAGATAGGGAAAGGATTTGAGATGTGATTGAGAAGCACCATGAGTGATCAAGAAGAGGGCAAGTTGCAAATGCCCTGCCTCAGCAGCACAATGCAGGGGAGTGTAGCCAGCATCATCCACAGTATCAACCTCACCACCGTGTTCAAGCAGCACCTTCACGCTCTTTATTCGACCCTTGAATGCAGCCCAATGCAGTGGGGTCCACCCGTTCTGGTCCCTCCCGTTCACACTCGCCCCTTCCCCCAAACACCTCTTCACGCCCTGAACATCGTCAACCCTCACCGCACGCATCAGCGCGTCGCCCAACCCCAGCAAATCCACCAAACGCCTGCGCGCGTTGGACTCTTCACTCTCCGCCGCAACACAAAACGCCGTTCTCCCCTCCCTGTCCTTCACGCACTTCACGTCTGAGCATTCTAACAAACACTCCACGGCCTTCACGTGTCCCTTCCACGCCGCGTAATGGAGCGGGGTCCTCCCCTTACAGTCCACGCGATTAGGGTTTCCTCCCATCGAGACGCAGAACTCGATAACCCTCACGTGCCCCTCCCTCGCCGCCACGTGAATCGGAGTTCTCCCCTCCGAGTCCACCGAATCCACCTCCAACTTCTCGTCGCAATGCTCCAGCAGAAACTCCATCACGTCGATTCGATCCGTTGCCGCGGCCTCGTGCAGAACTGACTCCACGATTTCGCAACCAGAAGCTTCCAGAAGCTTCACCACGTCGAGGCTCCCCGACCTGATTGCGGGTGGCATGAGAGACTCTGCCGTCGCGGTAGCGTCCGCGCCGGCGTCGAGCAAGTAGGCGACGGCGTCTGCGCTGCCGTTTTCGACGGTGGTGCATGGACGTCCGGTTCCGGTGAATGGAAGAGGGAAATCCCAGGAAGAGTGGCGGTGGCGCGGGGACGGGAGTGAAAATTTGGGAGAAGCTTTCCCAAAAAACATTTGGAAAATGGAAGAGGGAAATCCCAAATTCAGATTTTATAAAGTGAATGCATATAAAGAAGGCCAAAAGCCTTCGGTAAATCGTATGTGTATTACCGAAGGGCAAAAGCCTTCGGTAATGACCAACTTTAATGACCGTCGGGAAATCCTTCAGTATT